TTTTAAATAAATAAATAAATAAAAGCTAAATAAATACATAAAAATAACTCAACTTCCAAAATTTTAGAACAAAAATTAATGACATGGGGCCGGCAGGTAGCACGGTGTTTGAGACACTGGGCTCCCACATGGTTCACCATGGTTCAAATCCCATACCTGGCGGCTTATTTTCTCACTCTCCTTTTATCTCTTTCTCTCTCTGGTCAAAATTGAATAATAATGATAATAGGGGCCAGCAGGTAGCTTGGTGGTTAAAGGCGTTGGACACCCATGTGGGAGTCCAATCACAGTTCAAGTTCTGGACCTGGTGGCTTGCTTTCTCACTTTCTCTCTGTCTCTGATCAAACTAAAAATAATAATAATAATAAAAATAAAGCTAAATAAAGTAATTGTTTAAAAAATAAGAATGATAAATAAATAAAATTTAAAATAATTAAGTCCTTAAAAAATGAATGAGATATAGAAAATCAAAGCTACAGTATCAGCATTGAGCAATCTGGGTGGTGCTCTCTGTAATCTGGTCTGATTCAATAACCGTGTCCCACACAGACAAATTTCCACTGAAATACTATTGGGAAAGTCTGACGTTTGTAAGAAGGGCAGAGTTTAAATACAAAATAGACTTCCCAGTCAACAATGCCTTTTTTAAGAAAACCAATTAGAGGCTGTTGACATGCCCTTGAAACTTTGTGAGCAGTTAGGCCACAGCAAGAAAAGGAAAATGGCCAGGGGAGGACAGGGGGCCACTTGAGAGCCTGAGCTGCTGCCAGCTCTCCGAGGTATTGAACACCGCCTGCTGCCAACTGCTCCGTGTGGCTGTTCCCACCACTACCAGGGCACTGCACAAAGCTCTTGGAAAATGGAGTTAAAGTATGAGTCTTATTTTGCAAAAACTTTTGAAATCCATGCATAGTTGTTTCCTAACATGGTTCTGCATGTTCCGTGAACTTTTTGAAGACCTTCTGGATTGAGAGACATCACTAGTTATATGCTTAGACATCAGTTGTATATAAATAGCTGTCATTGAACTTGCTGGTTTCCCAATAACAACAGAGAAAAGTAACATTTCCTCTTCTGAGGAAAACATAGTAAAGATGGTTTAAAACCCATTACTGGGGGGCCAGCAGGTGGCATGGCAGTGAAGGCACTGGACTTCTACGTAGCTGGCCATGGTTCAAGTCCCAGATCTGGCAGCTCAAAAATCATGCAGTGCACATGTGCATGCATGCCTAAAATCCTGAGAGAAGAATGGAGGGGAACAGGTTATAGCATGGCCAGCCTCAGGGGTTGATTTCTCACTTTTCTCTCTCACTATCTCTCTCTCTCTCTCTAGGAAGCACACGTGTCCTTCAGCAAAAAACTAAAAGAAAAAAAGTCACAAATAAGGGAAAGACTAATATAATTCAATAGAAAAGGAACAAAGTATATGAATAGATATTTCACTAGAAAGGACACATAAACATCTTAAAATGATATGGTTTAGTGAAATGAATGATATACACACTTATAATAAGAACAATTAGAACTATATAAAACATTATTTTTCTTTTATCAGATTAACAAAGATCAAAAAATATGAGAACACTCAGTTACCGAAGAGAAAGGATCAGAACACTCAGTTACCAAAGAGAAAGGGCAAGAGGTATTTCATGGGCTACTGGCATGTATATAGATTATTACTGATTCATCGTTGGGCCCACAGGTGGCATGGAGGTTAAAGCTCTTGATCCCACATGGCTAACTTTGTAGTTCAAGTCCTGGAACTGGCAGCTTGAGAATCGTACTGGGTACATGTGCGTGTGTGCCTAAAATCTCAAGAGGAGAATGGAGAAAGGAATACAATGTGGCCATCACCCCCATCCCCTGGGTGCAATTTCTCACTTTTCTTCCCTCTCTGTCTCTGGCAAGCGCCTGCTCCCTACAGCAAAAACTATAAAAATAAAATAAAATAAATTTTTAAAAAAGTTCATCATCTTAGAAACAATTTGGCAGTATTTATCAAAACTCCCATTATATGAACTCTGTGATTAGCAATTTTACTTGCAGGAATTTCTCTTATAGACATATTCGTATAGGTAAGGTAAGACATTTGTGCAAGGTTATTTATTACAGTTTATTTGTAAGAACAGAACAGTGAAGCAACATGTCTATTCAAATGCAGTCACTGAAAAGAATGAAATAGCTCTCTGTGTACTTTTGGAATGATCCAAAACGCATGGGTACACAGAACATGGTGTGCGTATTGCTATCATTTAAGAAAGAATGTGTAAACATACTTGCTTATTGTATGCCAATAAAACATCTGTGGAAGATGCTGGATGTTTGTGAATAGGGGAATTAGAAGGCAGAAGAACAATGACAGGAGGAACGCTTCATTTTGTATTAGGGTTGTTAAGGATTTCTTGCTCCCTTTTGAATTTAAGAGTGTGTTGAGGGGATCAACAGTTGGCGTAATGGCTACATCGCTGGACTTCCATGTAGCCAACTGTGGTTCGAGTTCCGGACCTCATGCCTTAAACTCATGTCGGGTGTGCGTGCATGTGCGTGCCCAAGATCCCAAGAGGAGAATGGAGGAGAAGGGATTGCGGCATGGCCACACCCCCACCCCACCCCCCCGGGAGGTGATTTCTGGCTTTCTGTCTCTCTGTCTCTCTCTGACTTTCTGGCGAGCGCACACACCCTATAGCAAAAACCTCTCTTAAAAAAAAAAAGAGTGTGTTTGGGCTGGCAGATGGTGTGGTGGACTCCTGCATGGCCAACCATGGTTCAAGTCCTGGACCTGGCGGCTTGCTTTCTCACCATCTCTTTCTCTCTCTCTGTTTCTCTGTGGTCAAATTGAAGAAGAAGAATAAATAAAATTAAATAATTATTTTTACAAGTTTTTAAAAAGTTTAAAGATAAAAAATGAGTGTGACTGTGTTCCCCATTCAACATTTAAGGGTAAGGATGGAGGTCAGGCACTGGTGCAGCAGTAATGCAGCACTGTGTGCTGTACCAACATGAGAAAGTCCCAGGACCTCCGTGTACATGCCCGTGATCAGGGCTGGCTGGTGAGGCTGAGGGTGGATTGCAGCATGAAGACTCTACTGGGGGTACCTACCTCTGTCTCTGTTTCTCCGTGTGTCTGTTTCTCTCAAGAAGAAATAAATAAACTTGGGGGAAAATGCCTCAGGTAAGGGACTGAAAAACCAGAATATACAGGGAACTCAAGCAGTTTAAACCCTCCTACCCAAAAATAACCAATCTAATTAAAAGATGGCCCAATGAACTGAGCAAGTAACTCTCCAAAGAAGACATATGGGCAGTCAAAAAGCATATAAAAAACACTCAACATCCTTATCATAAAAGAGGTACAAAAAAAAAAAAAGAGGTACAAGTTCAAACCACAATGAGATAGCACCTAACCACAGTCAGAATGGCTAAGATTAAAAAAAAAAAAAAGAATGATAAGTGCTGGAGAGGCTGTTGTGAAAAGGGAACTCTCCTACACTGTTGATGGGAATGTAAACTAGCATAATGACTATGGAGAACAATATGGAGGTTCCTCAAATACCTGCGAATAGAACTAATATAGGATTTAGCAGTTCTATTCCTGGATATCTACTTAAAGGATAGGAATACAGTCAGTTGGAAAAACATTTGCACATTTATGTTTATTGCAGCATTATTCACAATTGCTAAGACATGGACTCAACCCAAATGTCCAAGAACAGATGAATGGGTTGAGAAAGGGTAGCACGTATACACTATGGAATACTCAGTTATAAAAACAATGAGACATGAGAGGGGCAGGAGGAAGGAAATCAAGGGGGAACAAAAAAGCAAAACATTTAATGGACACAAAATGTAAAATTATCTGTTGATAATGTGTTTAGTAGTATCTTTGGACTAATATGCAGTATTCATGCTGGGAAAATTCATTTTGTATGTTATAGAGACATATAGTGACTAAATGCACTTAAAAATCACACACACACACACATATATATATATAGAGAGAGAAAACAGTGAGACTCTGGCATTTGATAGAAAGTGGACAAATTGCAGAGCCAGTAGGTGGCATGGTGGTAAAGGTGCTGGACTCCCACATGGCAGACCACGGTTTGAGTCCTTGACCTGGCAACTTGCTTTCTCACTTTCTCTCACTCTGTCTCTCTCTGGTCAAATAGGAAGGAAGGAAGGAAGGAAGGAAGGAAGGAAGGAAGGAAGGAAGGAAGGAAGGAAGGAAGGAAGTTAAATAAAATAATTTATTTTTAAAAAAGAAAATATAGCAATCAGATGGTGATGCATTGGTAAAGCATGACTCTGAGTGGCAGTCTCACTTGGGAAGGTTCCTGGTTCAAGTCCAGAGACCTCCCTGAGAACACTGCCTATGATCTAGGACTAGCTGAATGCAGACGGTGGATTGTGGCATCAAATCCCTGTTGGGAGTGCTGTCTCTCTCTCTCTCATTTGCCTATGGAAAAGCTCCCTCTCTTCCTCCCCACTCCTTGCTTATGGAAGAAAGAAACCTAGGAAGGGAAGGAGAAAGGAAAATGTGCTTTGACCACACCATGGATCTTTGCCACTATTGCCCACCCTAAGGAGCCCCAGTAGCATTACAGGCGACTCCATGGAACTGTTCTGCCAAATCATATGTGTCCCATTTGTACCCAGAGTCCCCCCTAAAGTCACCCTTACAAAAATACTGCTCAAATGAAGGATATGCTTCTGGGAGCATGGTGGTTAAGGGGGCTGGCTCTCACATGGCCGACTGCACAGTCGGGTCCCAGACCCAGAGGTTGAAAAGCACACTGGGTACGTGTGTGAGTGCCCATAGTCTTGAGAGGAAAATGGAGGAGAAAGGATTGCGGCATGGCTGTCCCCTCAGGAGGTAATTTCTCACTTTCCCTCTCTCTTACTCTCCCTCTCTGTCTCTCTCCAGCAAGAGCCCATGCCCTATAGCAAAACTAAAAAAAAAAAAAGGATATAAAAAGAATATGTGTTTTCTTGTTTTCCAGGGATGTTGGTGGTAAATGTGACATGGAGGAACAAGACGTATGTAGGTACACTTCTTGACTGCACACGGCACGATTGGGCACCCCCAAGGTAAGCACGTGCAACTGTTTTGTTTATAGTAGCCTGAACCACTCTGATGCACCCTGATGCCGTTATCCTTCTAGAGTTGTGCACCCAGCTTTTAAAGGCCATTTTGCTGTAGGAACAGGGTCAGAAACTGTATTCACCTGGCATCCATGGAGAGTAAATGCATGATGTATTGACATATTGGGGGTGGGTATGAGCTGGGGGAAGAGGGAAGAAATCTTTGTCTGGAATTATTAAAATCTAGTGTCTTCATGTACTTGCCAAGACCGTAGTCTTAACTGTGGCTGAACAAAGATTTATGGATAATACTTTATTTATTTATTTATTTGGAGAAGTTTTTGCTATAGGTTTTGGAGAGGGCATGTGCACTTGCCAGAAAAACAGAGACAGACAGAGAGACAGAAAGCGAGAAATCACCCCCCCAGGGGGGATGGCCACGCCACAATCCCTTCTCCTCCATTCCCCTCTCGGGATCTTGAGCACACACACACACGTGCCCAGCATGAGTTTAATAAGCTATTGGGTCTGAGACTCGGACTGTAGTCGACTACACGCGAGTCCAGCGACATAGCCATTATACCAACTGCTGGTCCCTTGATAATACTTTTTGATGGCAGCTGATATTCAGAATTTAAACTCTAGAACAGTTTCAGTTTTATAAACCCTAGTAGACTTCATAGTTTTCACAAGGACCTTTTTAAGTTGCAGTATGACCTTAAGATTGACATTTCAGTCAACATTTTCTTACCCATTTGGCCAGCGTTTGGGGACCCAAATGTTGGGGTATAATTTGCAACCAGCACAGAGATAGCCTCCTGGGAGGGGAGCTCATCCCTTAATGTAATCGCTATGTATTCACAAGTTTCTTTAACAAACCATATTCGGTGAAAATGGTAGTTGTGGCTCAGCCCCCACAGCACAGTAGTTAAGTGCTGTACAGAGCGAGCCAGGTCTCACATGGCTGACTACTGCTCAAATCCTGACCCTGCCGGTGTGAAAAGCACACCAACACATATACTCATGCCCAGGATCCTGATCAAATGCAGAATGAAGAATAAAGGGATTGCAGTGTGACTGGGCCCCACTGGAGGTTGCTTTCACTCTCTCTGTCATTCTAGTGCATGTGTATGCATCTTCTGCAAAAATATTAAAGAAAAATAAATGGTAGTTGCAGCGGCCCCATAGCACGACTGAAAGGAGGCCAGATCTCATGTGGCTGACCACAGCCCCAACGACTTGAAAAACACACTGGGCGTGTGTGCATGCTCAGGATTCTGACAGATTGACAATTAAAAGAAAAAGGATTGCAGTGTGAACAGGCCTCAATAGAGAGTGCTTTCTCTCTCTCTCTCTCTCTCTCTCTCTCTCTCTCACCCCTTCTCTTTCTCTCTCATGTGCATGGACATACCCTGTAGCATTTTAAAAAAAAATGAAATGGCAGTTACCATCTGGATAGTTCTCTTAGAAAATGTCTTTTTGGGGGCCAGCAGGTGGCATGATGGGTTAAGGTGCCAAATTCTGCATGGCCAACTACATGATTTGAGTCCCTGACCCAGCAGCTTGAAAAATCACACGAGGTACATGTGCATACATGCCCAAAATCCCAAGAAGAGATTAGAGAAGAAGGGGTTGCAGAGTGGCCATCTCCCCTGAGGATTTTTCACTTTCCTTATCTCTGTCTGTCTCCAGCAAGCGCATGTGCCCCACGACAAAAATATTTTTAAAAGAAAATGTACCTTTGTTTTTGTTTTTAGGGGTTTTTTGGGGGGCTATAAGGCCCATGCATTCATCGGAAAGTGAGAGAGAGAGGAAAAGTGATAAATCACCCCCCAGGTCTCGAACCGTGCAGTCAGTCATGTGGGATTCAGCCACCTTAATCTCCATGCCACCTGCTGGCTCTAGAAAATATATCTTAAACCCCCACCTGTCTGTTGTTCCCATGAATCATGTGGGCAGGAATACCCCATGGAAAAGTGTGTTGAGCTCCCTGACTTCCCTACCACTTTCCTAGGTGTGATTACACACCACTAGTGATGCATAAATAACCACAGGTTATGCCCCTCAGAGATGCTGGGCCGGGTTCTCAGAGGCCCAGAGTGGGTGACAGTGTGTTCAGACAGCCCCTGAAGTTGTCCTGATCAGAAGCAGGAGCAGATGCGCTGGGGCCAGTTTGTGAAAGTCTTTACACCCTCCCTTCGTGTTTCTGGAAAACCAGTTGGGAAGACTTGTTTCCATGCAGGGCGTGTAAGATTCCAGAGCAGGGGCAGCTGAGTGGGCACGTGGTGACAGGAAATATCCGCTTCCTTGGAGGGCTGTCCTGGCAACCCAGAGGAGATCGCGTCTGTCTTTGCTGTAGCTGTGACTCCCATTGTCTTCAGGACAGTCTGTTGCAGCTGTGTCCTGAGGCGAGAGAGTCCAAATTGAACTCAGCTCTGCAAAGACACCAACTTTAGCTAAGGGCTTAACTTGAGACAGTGTTTCACGCTCCATGAAAAACTACTATAGGGCTAGTGAGAAATGGCCCCTCGGTGCAGACCTTTAGACATTGAAAGAACTCATGTAGCATTGGCCGCATCTGAAGGTCAGGAGCTGTTTGGGGTCTCTCAACTGTGTGGGTGCTTTGTTCCACATGTCAGTACCTCTGTGGCGAGGCATGTAAGAAGTAAAATTGGGCTGAAAGTAGAGCTAGATTCTGGTCATGAGTTGCCATGAATCAGTAATGTGGCCTCGGGAAAATCACTTAGTAAGCCTGACCTCAATTTCCTGGGTAATCTATTTTTTTAAGAGAGATTTCTGGTATAGGGCATGTACACTTGCCAGAGAGACAGAAAGCGAGAAATTATCCCCCCCAGGAGGAATGACCACGCTGCAGCTTCTTCTCCTCCATGAGTTCTAAGCCACTGGGTCCAAGATCTGAACCATGGTCAACTACGTGGGAGTCCAGCAATGTAACCACTACACCATCTGCTGGTCCCTCCTAGGTGATATTTTCTTAAACCAACCATGGCTGCATATAGAAAATGCAGAGAGGACTGCTCTTTGTCCTATAGCAGTATCTCTGTATGGCTTTAGAGGTAAACTGTTGAGGAATAATTTACAACTAGCATGCAAATAGCATCCTAGGAGCTCACCTCTTAAAAGTGTCCACACAATCAGTAGTTCTTTTAACAAATCATGTTCATTGGAAATGATAGTTATCATCTGGTCAGTTCTTCTGAAGGCTAAACCAGACTAGTTTGAAGAGGTTTCTTCTTAATAATATCCTGTTGTGTTTGTCCTTTGCCAAGGTTCTGTGACTCCCCCACCAGTGACTTGGAGATGCGCAACGGCCGGGGTAGAGGCAAACGCATGCGTCCCAACAGTAACACACCTGTCAATGAGACAGCCACCGCCTCTGACAGCAAAGGGACCAGCAGCAGCAGCAAAACCAGAGCAGGAGCCAATAGCAAAGGTCGCCGGGGCAGTCAGAACTCTTCAGAGCACCGCCCACCTGCCAGCAGCACTTCTGAAGATGTCAAGGCCAGCCCTTCTTCAGCCAATAAGCGGAAAAGCAAACCCCTCTCAGACATGGAGCTGAATTCTAGCTCAGAGGACTCCAAAGGGAGCAAGCGCGTTCGTACGAATTCCATGGGCTCAGCCACTGGTCCCCTTCCTGGGACCAAGGTGGAACCCACTGTTCTGGACAGAAATTGTCCTTCCCCAGTCCTGATTGACTGTCCCCACCCAAATTGCAACAAGAAATATAAGCACATCAATGGACTTAAGTACCACCAAGCCCATGCCCACACGGACGATGACAGCAAGCCAGAAGCAGATGGAGACAGTGAGTACGGGGAGGAGTCCAGCCTCCATGCGGACCTCGGGAGCTGCAATGGGGCAGCTGTCTCACAGAAAGGTTCCTTGTCCCCTGCCCGCTCAGCCACCCCCAAAGTTCGGCTCATAGAGCCCCATAGCCCTTCTCCTTCAAGCAAATTCAGCACAAAAGGCCTCTGTAAGAAAAAGTTGAGTGGGGATGGGGACACAGACCTCGGGGCCTTATCTAATGATGGCTCTGATGATGGACCCTCAGTAGTGGATGAGACGAGCAACGATGCCTTTGATTCTCTGGAAAGGAAGTGTATGGAAAAAGAAAAATGTAAAAAGCCCTCTAGTTTGAAACCTGAGAAAATTCCTTCCAAGAGCTTAAAGTCAGCCCGGCCCATTGCCCCTGCCATCCCCCCACAGCAGATCTACACCTTCCAGGCAGCCACCTTCACAGCAGCAAGCCCAGGCTCCTCGTCAGGCCTGACCACCACAGTGGTCCAGGCCATGCCCAACAGCCCCCAGCTCAAGCCCATCCAGCCCAAGCCCACTGTTATGGGAGAGCCTTTCACAGTCAACCCTGCCTTGACTCCAGCCAAGGACAAGAAAAAGAAAGACAAAAAAAAGAAAGAATCTTCGAAGGAACTTGAAAGCCCTCTGACCCCTGGGAAGGTGTGTCGAGCTGAAGAAGGCAAAAGCCCCTTCAGGGAATCATCAGGAGATGGGATGAAGATGGAGGGGCTCCTCAATGGCTCATCAGACCCCCACCAGAGCCGCCTGGCCAGCATCAAAGCCGAAGCTGACAAGATCTACAGCTTCACGGACAATGCCCCCAGCCCTTCTATCGGAGGCAGTAGCCGCCTGGACAGCACCACCCCCACCCAGCCCCTGACTCCCTTACACGTGGTGACCCAGAATGGAGCCGAAGCCAGCTCAGTCAAAACCAACAGCCCCGCATACTCCGACATCTCTGATGCTGGGGAGGATGGGGAGGGCAAGGTGGACAGTGTCAAGTCCAAGGACCCTGAACAGTTGGTCAAGGAGGGGGCCAAGAAAACTCTGTTCCCCACTCAGCCACAGAGCAAAGACTCGCCTTATTACCAAGGCTTCGAGAGTTACTACTCTCCAAGTTACGCCCAGTCCAGCCCAGGGGCGCTGAACCCCAGCAACCAGGCAGCAGTGGAGACCCAAGCCCTGAAGACAAAAAAGGACGAGGAGCCTGAGAGCCTGGAGGGGAAAGTGAAGGGCGACGTGTGTGAGGAGAAGAAGTCGGAGCTGAGCGGCTCCAGCCAGCAGCCCTCTGTCATCCAGCAGCGTCCTAGCATGTACATGCAGTCCCTGTACTACAACCAGTACGCCTACGTGCCCCCCTACGGCTACGGCGACCAGGGCTACCACAGCCACCTCCTGAGCACCAACACGGCCTACCGGCAGCAGTACGAGGAACAGCAGAAGCGCCAGAGCTTGGAGCAGCAGCAGCGAGGCATGGACAAGAAGGCAGAGATGGGCCTGAAGGAGCGGGAGGCCCTCAAGGAGGAGTGGAAGCAGAAGCCTTCCATCCCGCCAACCCTCACCAAGGCCCCCAGCCTGACGGACCTGGTGAAGTCAGGGCCAGCCAAGGCCAAGGAGCCTGTGGGCGACCCTGCAAAGTCTGTCATCATTCCCAAGTTAGATGACTCTTCAAAACTCCCCAGCCAGGCCCCCGAAGGCCTGAAAGGGAAGCTGAGCGAGGCCAGCCATCTCGGCAAGGAGGCCTCTGAGGCCAAGACAGGCGCGGAGTGTGGCCGGCAGGCAGAGGTGGATCCAATACTCTGGTACCGGCAGGTAACTTGCCCTGGGAGGAAGGGGAAATGCCCTTTTGTAATCCTTGTCTTCCTCACAGATCAGGGCTGTCCTTGAGTAGGGGGTTGACAGAGTTGAGATGAGCAAGAGGAATGTTTAATTTTAGGGTTCTCTACCCTCGTAAACCACTTTGTCGTTTTGTTTTAGTTTTTGCTATGGGGGCGCATGCGCTTACCAGAGAGAGATGGAGCGGAAGGGGGGATGGGCACACCATAGTCCCCTCTTTTCCAATCTCTTCTTGGTATTTGTGGCACGCGTGCACACATGCCTGGCATAATTTTGCTTTGTTTTGTTTTGGAGAGATTTCTGCCTTAAATGTGTACACTGGCTGGAAAGAGAGACAGGCACAGAGGGAAAGTGAGAAATCCTCCCCCAGGGAGACGGCCACATTGCGGTCCCTCCTCTTTCATTCTCCTCTTGGGTCTTGAGCATGCTCACACATGCTCCTGGCATGATTTTAAGTTACTGAGTCTGGGACGTGAACCACAGTCGGCCACATGGGAATCCAGCGACATAACTACTCTGCCATCTGCTGGTCCCCTGGCATGATTTTCAAGCTGCTGGGTCCAAGACTCAAACTGCACAACTGGCCATGTGGGATTCAGCCCATTAACCACCTTGCCATCTAGTGATGTTTTGGGGAGCTTTTTTGGTTTTGGTTTTGGTTTTTAGAGAGAGATTTTTTTGCTGTAGGGTGCATGTGCTCTCCAGAGAGACAGAGACAGAGAGATAGAACACGAGAAATCACCCCCCCCCCCAGTGGGAGAGGAAGGGAATGGCCATGGTACAATCACTTCTCCTGCATTCTCCTCTCAGGATTTTGGGCATGCACACACATCCAGCATGAGTTTTAAGCCGCCGGGTCCAGGATTCAAACCACAGTCAACTACATGAGAATCCAGAAATGTAACCATTATGCCATGCACTGGTCCCCATTTTGATGTTTTTATAAAAAGCATTTTTGCATCTGTAAGAGGAGTTTTTCCCATTTGACAACAAAGGCCCAGATAAGTTAGCCTGATTTCTGCAGGGTGAATTTATTTGTAGAGTTGGGACTAGAACCAGGGTATCTTGACTCCTTGTTCAGTGTTTCTCCCGCTGCACGGATCCCATGGAATGAGTCTGTGGGAGCTGTCTAGCTGTCAGAGTGGGTCAAGCACACTGCTCAGCCAGAGCTGCTTCGAGAAGGCTTGTGTGGGTGGGATTGGATCTCAGAATATGGGAGTCTTTGTCTTGCTTGCTAGACTTGGGATAACCCCACTTCCTTCTTGGTGCCACGGTTGCCCCCTCTCCTCTCATCTGGGCACATTTGGAGTTTCCCACCCCTGAGCCCGCTCTGAAGAGTGAGACAGCCAAACATCTTGGAAGGGAGGAGCTTCTGTTCTAGGAGTCATTCCTCCAGATACTTGTTCTCTGGAGAACATCCGCCCATGGGTTCTTTTCTTTCCTATGTCTTATTTCCTTGGGGAAACGGGAGGGGGGCTTTGAAGGCAAGAGGCACCAGAGTTGGATTATAACAAAGACCAGCAGAAGCCAGCTATGATGGCACAGCAGCGACACACAGCTCTACAGTGTCAAGGCCACCTGGGAAGGTCCCAGGTTCTCCCGTACACGCTGGAAACCACACGGTGCTGAGGTCTTGGCAGGCTGAGGATGGCAGTAAAGATGATGTAAAGGCCCTGCAGAGAGGTGCCTTTTTTTTCTCTTTCTTGCTTATAAATAAATGAATAAACTTCATTTAAAAACCATCAATAGACAGGGCCAGCAGGTTGCTTGGTGGTTAAGGCACTGGACTCCCACATGGCTGACCATAATATGAGTCGCAGACCTGGCAGCTTACTTTCTTGCTTTGTCTCTCTCTCTGTCTCTCTCTCTCTCTCTGGTGAACTCACATGTCCTATAGCAAATTAAAATAATAACAAATAAAACTAAATAATTTTTAAAAGATCATAAGTAAAATTAAATAATCTTTTTAAAAAATCAATAGAGACAAGATCCTCCTCTTTCTCAGGTGTCTAGTGATTATCTTCTCTGGTGTTTCTACTGGGACCGTAGGTGTGAGCTGTTTCTGTCTTGGCCCTGCTTCAGTGACACAGGTGGTAGGTGCCTCTGTGAACTGCTACAGCCTCATGTCAGGCTCACGTTCTGTTCCCCAGCCAGCCTGAGCACAGACATGGGCACTGTGAGAGGGTCACAGCATGGCTAGTCTCTGTCAGAAGTATATCTTTCTCCCCACTCTCTCATTAAAGAGAGAAGTAGGGAAGCCGGCAGGTGACATGGTTAAGGGTGCTGGACTCCCACATGGCCAACTGAGATTCGAATCCCAGACCAGGTGGCTTGCTTTCTCACTTTCCTTTCTCTCTCTGTTCCTCTCTGGTCAAATTAAAAGAAACAAATTAATAAAATAATTCTTAAAAATTAAAAGAGAGAGAGAGAAATATGTGTGCATACAGTGTCTGCTTTATTCGCACTTTCCGGTCCTTCTGTGGTTGTTGTAGGAGGCGGAGCCCCGGATGTGGACGTATGTTTATCCTGCCAAGTACTCCGACATCAAGTCAGAGGATGAGCGGTGGAAAGAGGAGCGGGACCGCAAATTGAAGGAAGAGAGGAGTCGGAGTAAGGACTCTGCCCCCAAGGAGGACGGAAAGGAAAGCACAAGTAGCGACTGCAAGCTGCCCACGTCGGAAGAGTCTCGCCTTGGGAGCAAGGAGCCCCGACCGAGTGTCCACGTGCCTGTGTCCTCCCCCCTCACCCAGCACCAGTCCTACATCCCCTACATGCACGGCTACTCCTACAGCCAGTCCTACGACCCCAGCCACCCCAGCTACCGGGGCATGCCTGCCGTGATGATGCAGAACTACCCAGGTACAGCACCCCCCACTTCCCCGTCCCCCAGGAAGGGAGACGAGGCAGAGTCCGAATCCAGTCTTCTTGCTCAGCCCTAAAGCTTTTCCATACTTGCCTAGGTGATAGCCCTTTTCGGCGTGTGTCATTCTGTGAAGTGGCTGCTCTAACTCCTGGCTCCTTGAATGACCCTTAAACATGGTCCAGAAGACCTCCCTCT